AATCCTGCCCATAGGCATGTTTTGGTTGATCCACATAATCTTTAGTTTCTTTCTTCAATGAGAAACTTTACCTTAAAAAAAAAAATTCCCAGCTTGGAGTAAAGCTAAAAGATGTGGTAACACTGGACCTGTATCACTGGTTGGCAAGTTAGGAGTCGGTGGAGGCTGCCCTTCAATAGGGCATGCCACCCCTGCATGGGCTTCATTCTCATGGACTGGGATTTGACACTGAAGCCAAGAAAGTTACCTCTTTTTAAATTAGGGAATAAAGGGGAATGGTACTCATGGTACTCATGTCTCTCAATAAAAGAACAGATAAAGCAAGAAAGACATGGAAGGGAAAAAAATTTCTTTAGAAATGCAAAGGGTTGGCTTGGTATTGATGTAGCTCAGTGGTAGGGGTTTGCCTAACATGCACAAAAACCTGGATTTAATCCCAGCACTTCAGGGGCAAGGAGGAGGAAAAACCAGAAATGTAAAGTGTTTGTATTTGTTTAATGTGGAATGTGTGTGTGAGTGTGTGTGTGTGTGTACAAAATAAAACTCAAGATGCCATTTGAAAATAAACCATTGATATAATTGTGGTTACTATGCAGCAAGTATATGTGGAGAGGAGATACTGAATAGAAAAAAAAAAAAAAAAAGACATTGCAGAAGTGTTCTGCCTTTCTTCTCCCATACCCCACACTAGGGATTGAACTCAGGGCCTTGAGCATGCTAGGCAAGTACCCTTCCACTGAACTATATCCCTAGTTCTTTTTTTTGTGTGTGGTACTGGGGTTTGAACTCAGGGTCTCATGCTTCTAGGCAGGTGCTCTACTACTTGAGGCACTCCGTCAGCCCTTTTTTGTGTTGGCTATTTTTGAGATAGGGTCTCTCAAACTATTTCCCTGGGCTGACCTCAAACCACAGTCCTGATCTCTGACTCCTGAGTAGCTAGGATTACCAGTGTAAACCATTAATGTGGCCCCTCCTCAACCCTTTTAAAAACTATTTTGATACAGGGTCTTGCTAAATTGCCCAGCCTGGCCTCAAATTTTGGATCATCCTGCCTCAGGCCCTGAGTAACTGGGATTACAGGGATGTGTCTTCACACACTCAGCTAAGGTTTTTGGTTTTTTTTCCCCCTTAACATAACTGCAGTAAGTGGTGTGAGCTACTGCAAGGGGATTACATTCTACCACTTTCCTCATGTGTGTATGTTCTTATTTGGCCCCTGATGTTTGAGTTTGCAACAAGGGGGGAAGGTGTTGGGCTTCTTTGGAAGAAATCCACCAGGGTATGGGTACATTGTGAGTGCTCAGGTCTGAGGAACAGCAGTATGATGGCTGCCCCAGGGTTGTTACCACATGGGACAAGCAACATGTATTTGGCAAGTTGACGAGGTATCCTTTTCACAGAGTGACAAAATAGCAGTGTTGAAAGAGTATTAAACTTAGAAACTAATTTTACAAATTGCATTTTCAGGTTTTTTTTATTGAAGTCTTTTTTTGGGGGGAGGGGTTCCTACCAGTTTTTTATATAAATTCTTGATATTTTAAGGAAAGTTTCATCTGTCTGAATCAGAGTAAAACCAGCATTATCTGAGGAATGCTTCACTTGCCCAAGGGAATTCTCTTGGGAAGCAAGCCTTCTGTTGAGTTATGTGTCCTAGTTGGTATCTTCAGTGTTCAAAAGAGGATATCTTCTCTCACGGTAGCTCAACTAATTGTGAAAGCCAGCAGTCTGTCTTAATTGGCCTTTCAGGATGACTCCTGTGTAGCACTTCCCTCTCTTGGCCATTCATTGCTAATTAGAGGTTGAGTTCCTCAAAAGCCTTGCTGCCTGGCCTTTTCCATCTAGTGTTTTGATCTTGGTGTTTTGTTTTATCCTCAGAATGAGTCAGCCAGCTGACAGCTGCATTCATAGACCACCTTATTTTGACATAGACATACTCTACAATCACCGAGTAAAAGTATAAGCACCAGTCCCATGGCACGCCCATCATGTTCCTTATGCAAAATATTTGAGGACTCAGGAAATTTTCCTTGAGTTGAATAGTTTCCATTCTCCTGGCTTATTTTGTGGATACTATGAACCATTAAATGAGTGCTTTGCATGTAGTTTTAGCTTTGAAAAATCTTGGAGACAGATCTATAATTCTGCAGGAAGCACATGGGGCTGCAGGACATTCACCTTTGGTATTCTCCAGTTATAACTTATTATTTCTCATATGCTTATTTCCCACTTGGTCCCTAGATTCCTTTTTAAAAGCTTAATATTGACAATATAATTTTGTAAAATTGTTCCAGCATCACTTTATTTTTTTTCTCCTCCTCCTCCCCCTCCCCCTCCCCTTCTCCCCCTCTCCTCCTCCCCCTCCCCTCCCCCTCCTCCTCCCTTCTTCTTCTTCTTTTCTTCTTCTTCTTCTTCTTCTTTCTTCTTCTTCTTTCTTTTCTTCTTTTCTTTCTTTCTCTTTCTTTCTTTCTTTCTTCTTCTTTCTTCTTCTTCTTCTTCTTCTTCTTTCTTTCTTTTCTCTTTTCTTTCTTTCTTCTTTCTTTCTTTCTTTCTTTCTTTCTTTCTTTCTTTCTTCTTTCTTTCTTTCTTCTTTCTTTCTTTCTTTCTTCTTTCTTCTTCTTCTTCCAGGGGGGTCACATTGTGACATTTGCAAGAGTGAATTTACTACTGGAATAGTTTCAACCAGTCTCATTTTTTTCATTTTCATACATGAGTACATAATTTTTCCACCATATTCACCCTTTTTTTCCTTATATCCTCCCCCACTCTCACTGGTACCAACACCCCAGACATGGCCTGATTTTCCTTCCTGTTCCTGTTTTCTGTTTTCTTTTTTAAAGACATTTTTGTTTGTTAAAGATAGCTATACAGGTTGTTTCATTGTGACAGTTCCATATATATATATATAAAATAACCTGAATTGGTTCATCTCCTCTATTTTTCTCCTTTCTACTTTAGTCCCCTTCTTATGGTGATTTCAATAGGTTTAAAAATTCTATATTCATCTTGTATAGAAAGTATACCAACCATATTCACCTTCTTAACTTCCTTCTTTTACCCTCCTTCTCTTGTATGTGACCTCCTCTTAGCATAGCCTGTTTTGTTTTTTGTTTTTTTTTTCTTTTGCGGTACTGGGGCTTAAACTTAGGTCCTACACCTTGAGCCACTCCACCAGCCCTTTTTTTGTGATGGGTGTTTTCGAGATAGGGTCTCGCGAGCTGTTTGCCTGGGCTGGCTTTGAACCGTGATCCTCCTGATCTCAGCCTCCTAAGTCACTAGGATTACAGGTGTGAGTCACCAGCGCCCGGCCTGCATAGCCTGTTTTTTTAGAATATTGCTTGTATTTGTATTTATATTCCACAGATGATAGAAAACATGTAACCTTTGGCTTTCTGAACCTGGCTAACTTCACTTAAGATGGTGTTCTCTAGTTCCATCCATTTACCTGCAAACGACAAAATTTCATTCTTTTTTATGGCTGAATAAAATTCCATTATATATAAATACCACATTTTCTTAATCCATTCATCAGTAGTGGGGCATCTTGATGTTTCCATAGCTTAGCTATTGTGAATAATGCTGTAAACCCAGTAAACAAGGGTGGTATAGATGCTTTTATTGTAACCTGACTTATATTCCTTTAGGTATATCCCTAGAGTGGTATTGCTGGATTATATGGCAGTTCTGTTTTTAGTTTTACCAAAAACTCCTAGATATCATAAACACCTTCAGCAAAGTAGGAGGATACAAAATCAATTTACAAAAATCAGTAGCCTTTCCATATACCAACAATAAACAGACTGAGAAAAAGTATAGGAAAACAATTCCATTTACAATAACTTCAAAAAAATACCTAGTGTGTGGAGGGACGTGGCCCAAATAATGTATATACATGTAAGTAAATGTAAAAATGATAAAATTAAAATAATAAAAAAATATCTAGGAATAAACTTAACAAAGGAAGTGAAAGACCTCTACAATGAAAGCTATAAACCACTGAAGACAGAAATTGAAGAAGTCTACAGAAGATGGAAAGATCTCCCATGCTCATGGATTGGCAGAATCAATATTGTGAAAATGGCTATATTACCAAAAGCAATCTACATGTTCAGTGCAATCTCTATCAAAATTCCAATGAAATTCATCACAGAGATTGAAAAAAAACAACCCTAAAGTTCATTTGGAAGCACAAAAGACCGCAAATAGCCAAGGCAGTAATGAGCAAAGAGAGCAACACTGGAGATATCACAATACCCGACTTCAAACTATACTACAGAGCCATAGCAATAAAAACAGCATGGTACTGGCACAAAAACAGATATGAACACCAGTGGAACAGAACAGAAGACCGGGATATGAATCAACACAGCTATGCCTACCTGATTTTTGACAAAGATGCCCAAATCATTCTTACTTTAAAATGAGGCAAAAGTTAAAATCTTAAATGACTTATATTTGATGAGAATGTCTTACCAATTTGTTTTTAAACTTTATTTGAAATTCCCTCTTCTTTATGTAACCATATCTATCAGTTCTCTGATTACCACAGAAAGAATTGTTCCACATCTTCACCCCATAGTTACTTTGGCTCATTCAGCAGACATTGTACTCAGAGCTTAAAAGAAACAGAGTCTTCTGACCTCTCTCTTCTCCAGAGTGCAGTTCATAGTTTACCAAATTTCAGTTTTAAGTACCCCATTTATGCAGGAAGACAATTCTATTATCAGCATAGGACTGGTTGGCCTAGAAGACCTGGGAAATACTTGACATTGAACCTGGTTCTTCACAAAACAGATATTCAGCAGATGTTTTGTAACTTAAAGTTAGTTGTGTAGATATTCAGCAGATGTTTTGTAGCTTAAAGTTGGTTCTATTCTTTGAAGCAGCTGAATTATATTATTTTCCAAGGGCTGTCTGTCCCCATAGTCTAGGTCTGGGGAATGTAACCTGCTAGTGGCAGCAGTGGCTTGACTTCAGTGACATTTTCTGCTTTTCTTTTTCAGAGTATGATCGGTTGGGTTTCCTCCTGAAGCTGGACTCTAAACTGTGAGTAGAATGAAAGAATGCTGGTAAAGTCTGTGAGAGCTGGGGTCTAACTTTGAAAAGTCACCTCTCTTACTACTATGGTTATAGGGGGCGTCCCCTAGGGCCTCTTTTCTGAGTTTGTCAGTAGAATCTTGGAGCCTGTTACAGTCTGCAGGGGTCTGGACAGGATGGAGTGGTGGGTACAAACAAGTCTTATATTTGGCTAGCACAGGCAACTCATTACAGAAGGAGGCCCCTGCTAGGAGTTTGAGGGACAGGGAGGCCTCTGAAAAGGCTTCTCCTACAAAGTGGAGGGCAACTGAGTTACAAAGATGCTCTGTTACCTTGTATGCAAATACTCTGTGTTCAATCTCCAGTTTTCTTCTCTAGCTTCAACTTCTGTCTTTCCTGCTACATGTAAACCTACCTTCTCTACCTTTATAGATGCTTGTTACCTGTGCCTGAAATTTCCTTTCCTTGCTAGTTGATTTGGAAAACTCAATGATCAGTTCCTCTCTACACCAAATTATCTCTTCCTCTATGCTTCCTTTTAATTTTCTACCTCTGTTGCCAATATTATAATTAACTGTGCCATGATTGTTAATTTATTAAGAGTACACGCTAAGAGCCAGGCAAAGCTTGGTTCAAATCCCAGATTGCCATTTATTCTCTTTGTGATTTGGGGCATGCTACTTAAACACGTTGAGCCTGCTTCATGTGTGAGATGAAGACAACAATATATATACTTTGTGGGGTTATCATAAGGATTTAATTGAAGCGATTAACTCACAGAGGATTTTCAAGTAAAGGACATCTAATCCTCCAGGATTCTTCCCTGTTGATCTTTCTAGAGTCTAGACAGCACAGGTATATGTTTGTTAGGTAGTCAGTGTACCTACGTTTGGATGGATGAGTGGATTGGTAGATGAATGGATGGATGGCTAGATGATGGGTTGATTGCTACACAGTTGCCCATTTGACCAGAATGCCTTGAGTTGGAGCTCTGTGTACTCTGTGTGCTCTGCATGAGGCCACTCACATGATCAATGCTCAATAAAAGCTTGTCAAATTCCCTTACCACCTCCCATGACTCCTTTTTGTTATTAGTCATCTTTGTATAACTAAGTCCCTTGTCCTCACTAAGAAAGACATTATGGAAAATCAGAATTACATCTCCTTTCTTCTCTTGCACATGGTCTCATCCATAGCTGCCTCAGAGAACAATGGTCTCACCTGTATAAAAACATCAAATCAGGAGCTGTTCAGCTTTACCATTGGATTGTCAGGCATCTGGCTCTTTTTCTTAGAATCTAGGTTCCTGGCTGTGGTGGCTTGAGACTACAAGTTCAGACAGTGTAACTCTCCCAGCTTTTATATGTCATGGAAGCAGCTACAAGAGAAGAATGGTCTGCTGTTTTTACCAGGCTATTGGAAAGATGTCAGCCACATGTTAACATGTAGGGAATGGGGCTTGATCTTACTAGAAAACTGCAGGCTTTACTCTTAGAAAATTCTTAATTTAGTGCTCTGGGCAAAAAAACACATGAAGAGATACAGTAATTACCAAGTCAAATCACAATGATGAATAAAGGACATGTTATTGAAGGTATACATGCTAATTACAGAATTTAAGCTGTCTTCTGCAGCTGGAGGAGGAGGAGAAAGAAGAAGATGGTCTTGTCCTGCTCTCCTGACAGTGGTGCAAAGTAAGCTGGTGTGTAGCTTGCTGTTGGGTACTAGGCCAGTCCCATAAATCATCTGAGTCAGTTTGGTCTTTGGCAAGGAACTGGCTTGCCCCTATTTGGTTTAACTTACAATCTAAGGTACAAGCTAGAACTTTCCTGCCTCTTGTTGTGAAGGCTTTTCCAGTCCAGTGCTTTCTTCAGAGGTTAATACAGATATATGAAACTTTTTCCAGGGAGAAATTTCCAAGATAAGGATTCTGCTCTGGGGAGCAATTCCCAGCAAAATTTAGATTTCTCCTTTCTTTCTCCAGTTGTGTATAATTCCATTTCTGATATATAGGAAAGGATTTGAACTTTGATCAGATGAACTAGATTTGAATTCTGCCTCTGCAGCTTAGTATTATATGACCTTAGGTACTCATTTTAGTTTTCTGGACCACAATTTTCCTTTATGAAAAATGTAGGTAATTGGGCCTGAAGGTGTGGCTCAAGCAGTAGAGCGCCTGCTTTGCAAAGTTCAAAGCCCTGAGTTTAAACTCCAGTCCCTACCAAAAAAAAAAAAAAAAGTATAAAATTAATACTCACTTCATACAGTTTTACAAAGAATTTTAAACGAGGTTATATAAATTGTGAATAACTATACAAATGTAAAGATTTCTTTGTATTCACCTTGATTGTGATTAATTTAGTTTCTTGACCATAAAAATTCATGTGTTCTAGAAATTTTTCAGCCATCCTTTCCTTAAATATTGCCTCTTCCCCATTCTCCTGTACTCCCCCTACTCCTCTTCAAAAACTGATTAAATTTTAGACCTTGTCCTTCAAGCCTCTGGGTCTATTAACTTCCCTCATATTTGTCACCTTTTGGCCCTTTCCATATTAAAATGTAAGTCCAAAGGACTTGGTATAAGGATAAACTAGAATTTATAAGGTATAAGGATAAACCTGCACCCCTAAGCCAGGACTACAGGAAAGATTACCGTAGCTCTGAGTGGATTAAGGTAAAAAGTCAACAGAACAAAAGCACTTGAACTTATTTCCAGGATTCTTACTACTCAGGTGATCTAGGGAATCCCAAACTCATGAGCTCTGTGTAAGACAGTCTAGACTTGGCAGTGCCTCTTGGAAGAAGAAAATATAAATCCTCCCTAAAGAAAGACGTAAGTTCCTCACAGGTAACTTTTGAAGGATACAAGCAGCTCACAGTAAGAAATAATTAAATATACAAGGAAACAAGCTCTCCTTTCTGGGAACCATGAAAAAAAAAAGACAACAGAGGAGAATCCAAAAGATTTCTCACTGGAATGACAAAACACAGTTTATAAAGCAAATATATATACCACATTTAAGGAAATAAAAGACAAGATTAAATTATGTACTATAAAAAGTAAAATATTAGATTTAAAAAATAATATACTTTTAGAATTGAAAAATATAGTGACCAAAATTAAAAAATCAGTAGGAGCTTTTAGCAGCAGATTAGATAACCAAAGATAATGAACAGGAAGATAACTTAGAAAAAATTAGAACAGGGACTGACAAATTTTCTTCTGTAAAGGACCAAATAGTAAATATTTTAAGATTTGGGGGCTTTATTGTCTTGGTCACAACTACTCAGCTCTGCAGTTGTAACATGAAAGTAACCATAAGATAGTACATAGATTATTAAGTATGGCTATCTTCCAATACAACTTTATTTATGGGTGCTGAAATTTTAATTTCATATAATTTGTGTCATAAAATATTATGCCTCTTTTAACTTCGTTCCCTCACCCATTAAAAATATTAAAGACATTTTTAAGGCACTGGGTGGAGGGGGAGTCATACATAAAACAGGTGGTGGTTTGGCTTTGACCCACAAGGCATAATGTCTGACCATTGAGAATGCAGAGTGAGATGTTTTCTCTTCTTAAAACCCTATTCTATTAAAATAATCTTAAAATACCTTTATACCTTATCATATTCCAAAAATCTAGAAATAGATGTTTTTCACCTTCACTATAGTCTTTTAGTTGTGTCTTTTTAGAATAAATAGATTGGTTTGTGTTTTCTTTGAGAATTCCCTGCTGCTTTTATCTACATGGAAAAAAAATCACTTGTCTGTGCTATAAAAATTATGCAGAGGGTAGGAGGGAGGAGGTGGCCCAAATAATGTAGACGCATACAAGTAAATGTAAAAATGATAAAACTAAAAAAAATTATTCAGAATACTTAGGTGCAAAACCTTGTCTTTTAATTGCAAGATCTGGCATTCAGAAAGGCAATGTTTTTTTGGTAGTTAAAAACATGGGCTGTGGAGTCACTTCTTACTAGCTCTGTTCTTAAACCACTAAGTCTCAGTTTGCCACTATGAAGTGGGGAAGAGTAATAATCCAAGGATCAGGTTACCCTGTAGCCTCATCAATGTCTGGTAAATTGGGGGAAATTCAACCCAAAAATGAGACCTGGACTCAGCTTGCCTCCTGGTCCATACCTGGATTTCATTTCTTCATTTAGCAAATTTTGAGGGTTAACTATATGCTTTGTAAATGGGATAAAAGTGAAAACTCTAAGCCATATGGACAGCCTTATAAGCTTGATTGGAAAGGATGTCTTATGAACAAAAGTCTTAGTGTATGAGAACAGCAAGGGAGGGTAATGGTTAGTATTTTTGGACAGCATGAGCAACAGATTTTTTTTTTTTAATAAGGATGTCACTGGTGGTTTGGACATATAAATGGAGTATGAGGAGGATAGCAGGAATCCCAGGGTGCATGAGATATAGATGAAAGAGTAGCCCGTATCACAAAGGAAGGTAGAAATGGTGTTTTCAGAGGAGACCAAGTTTTCTATGATAGCAGAAGATCGAAGGAACATTCACTGAAGAGGTTGGAGATACAAAGGAATAGGGCTTCATGAAACAAAATAGAAAGTTAGAGTGAAGGGCAGAGGGACAGAAGGAGATCGGGCCAAGAAGAAGCAGAGAGCAGTAACTTGAGGATGAGAAAACTGGCAAGAAAAACCTGGCTGTGAGGCTATTAAGTTGGTGGGTGTTGCTGGCTTCAAGGTTGCCCAAGAATTGATCCCATCTTAAGTCTACACAGCTATAGCCTGATTGGATGATACCTCCAAGAGGTCAACTCTGGTCCCTTGGAAGCTTCTAGGATCTCTGAAAGGGGTCTGCTATGGTCTAGTTAGAAGTTGAGAATCCTGGGGAAGGGCTCAGGGTTAAAGATTCCTGCCCTAACAGTCAAGTGAGCACATGCAACAAATTTTGTAAGCAGCTACCATTTGCCAGGCAATATTCTATGCTCTGAGGATATACCAGTAGACAAGACAGTCCAAAAAGTATTGTAA